CAAAAACAGCACAGTGGCAAGTGCAATGGCCTTATAAGGGATCTTAGGAGGGCTTTTCTTAAACTGAAGGTCAATGTAGCCATCATCTGTGCTGGAGAGCCTTGAGTATTTTACTTTACTACTGGGGATTCCAGTAGCCAGATTAGTACGAGACGGCATCATAACACACGGACACAGCTACAGTCCGAGCACCGCGCTAAGACTGGAGCTAGAGAGGAACTCGCCCACGGGTACCAGCCAAGGCGTCCCAGGCCTCATGGCACAGCCAACCTAACCGCCGACCTAGCAAATACCAGCTTGCCGCCGGCGGAAGATATATTTTGATAACTAAGGTTCTATATAAAAATTTGGCTTTATAAGTTGGCCCATGCCTCACTAGTGAAATTGATAAAGATTCATGTTTCCAATTCCGCCCCAGTTTCTACAGAAAGAAAGGAATTTTAATTGGAGCCAGGGGATGGGGATAGGAAAGTCTAAAAGATGAAATTAATCATGGTAATAAAACAAACCCCTGGGAACTCAGGTGTATAGAAAGCATTTAAGCTCAACAAAACAAAATTTAATTTAATAAACTATTAGTACTCAGTGAACTTACATGGATGAATTTATTCAACTACCTTAACATAAGCTTTGATCTGCTTGTTTACATGTATTATATAGTTAATCTGTACTCATTGAATGGGAGTTCCAAAGGAGATGATAAAGTCATGGAGTCTACAGAGCTTTGGGCAAATGAATAGAACTGAAGGCATAGAATGTTCTAAAGTCAACTAACATTCAGAGATTCAGTCATCTTAACTGCATAATATATACATCTTTATTGAACCAAAAAATGTAAATCTGAATTTTCTAACTTACCTCAGTTATCAGAATTTGGAATGGTTTTGATACAAGATTCCCTGAAGTTCAGGCATAACAAAGTAACAAAGCATCTAAGGTGAATGTAATAAACATTTGCTTCTTTAAATCTTTCTATAAAGAAAGTTGAATATTCAGGCATCCACTTGAATATTCAGGATTGCCATTTGTTTGTTAATGTTTAGGTTTCATTTCAAAAGAAAAAAAAAAGACACTCAGGACTTAAGATCAGCTCTTGCTGTGAATTCTATTTTGCAGTAGTAACAATGTTCCCTGACTTGGTATGTGCATTACCTGCTGGTAGCCAAATGTGCTTGTATTATTAAGAAGAGAAATGGGTCACAGAGATGGGAATCAGAATAATTTCAAAAGGGTGGTATACAAAGATGACTGAATTTTCAAAAAAATCATAGTACACATAGACCCAATAAAATAATAGCTATCTTTGAGAAATAGCCTATTGCATTAGGATTCTAGGTTTTTAAATATATTATGTTTTATGTTGTGTACAAGTGAATATAGTTTAATAGGATGCCTATTAATTGCAAAGCTGATTGATTGTATTATTTTTAATAAGATGGATGTGTTCCTTTATGTATCTACTAACATTAAAAGGAAGTTGAAATTTGTATGTGTTATGCTGAATGTGCTTGTGCAGATTTAGAGAATAAATCTAAATCTAACTTTGGGAAGCATATTTCACTTTTTACAATATGTTCAGAGACCTGTGCCAAGTAAGAATTTTATTCCTGCCTCTTTTGATCACTTAGCTTTCTTTAACTGTGGGTACCTATTGCACAAAACAGAACATTTGCAGGACTTTTCAGAGCCACATGGCTGGTGGGAGTCCTTCTCTGCTCTGCTGTGCCCCCTGCAGACAAATGAACCTTGAACACCTCTGACCGCAACCCCCTCCATGGGGTCATGAATATTTTTAAAATTGTCTCAGGACAAAGATTAATCTTCACCTTCAAAACATATTCTTTATTCTATTCTTTATGATTCAGTCTTCCTGTCATGTCTTGAAGTATCAAAGATCCTCAAACATTTCAAAGGAAAAAGTTCTCCCAGTGCTTAAGGCAGATGCATTGCCTGGGATTGACCAACTCTGGCCTTGTAGGTGCTTATTTTCAAATGCAGCACAATGCAGGAAATCCAGTCTAATTTTCTTCCAAGTAACAGCTTTGGACTTCCAGTTTGGGTTATAAGCTAACATAGCACAATGGCCAATAGGCCAAATCTGTCCCATCACCTGTTTTTTGTAGCCACAACTAAGAATGTTTGTGTGTGTATGTGTGTGTGTTTTGTTTACTTTTGCATTTTTAAATGACTAGCAAAAAAATCAAAAGACTAAAACTGGGCGACATGTAGAAACTGTATGACCATCAAATTCCAGTGTCACCAAATAAAGTTTTACTGGAAGATGGCCACCACACATACACACACACACACTCCTATCCTCAGTGGCTGCCTTTGCACTACCATGGTGGAGCATAGAAGCTGCAGTGAGGCCATAGGAGGTCTCCAACACCAGAAATATATACTCTCTGGCCCTTTACCAAAGACGTTTATCAACCCCTGATATCACAGATTATAGTTTAACTTTAGGGTTAATAAGATCACAAGAATTCCAGTCACTACCAAAAAACACAAGACCACTGCTGTTCACTAGTAAAGGCAAGGTGTGAACCCTCAGTAAAATGATGAGAAAGCTAGTGCTACTCCAACTATTGCCTTTGTTGTCCTTGAAACAACATTTGGGATCCCAGAGACAAAAGTGTGTCCATGATCATTACGTTGATAATGGATTTGAAAAGCAGTGGCCACCCAGGCCAGCCACAGCCCACTGAGGCCTCCTTGGGCCTCTTCCCCAGCTATTCCTTCAGTTGTGTGCTGCCTGAATGTCAGTGAGGGTGCATGTAGGGAGACAGAGCAATTTCCCCACGGGGCCAGAAGGAAGGGCCAACATTCAAAAGTTGGCAAAATAAGAAGAACCAGGATCCCTTCAACACCCCCATCAGGGTTTGCTGTGGGAATGGAGGGGACGAGGGAATTTTTAAGCTGGCCTTCTCACTTTCTCAGTTAAAGGTTCATATTAGTGGAATGTGTGTGTAGTAACCTCAGTATTTATACTATTTAGCAACAAACTGACTATTAACAGTCTCTTAAGACTTTGGCTAAAACAACATTTTATTCATTCAGAACTGATCTGTGCGTGTGGTGCTGCCAAGTGGTAATGTGCCGATAAAAACTCGCCTTCTCTTGCCAGTGCCATCTCTAGAAGACTGCTTTGTGATTGTGTGTTGGGTGTGGTTGTGAGAACTAGCACCAACTCCCAAACAGGAGCTTTTCTGCAAAATCTTGTAATCCATCAGACTTTGACGTGAGAGAGAGCATTTCTGTCCTTACTATAAGAGTCCCCATGAAAAGCAGTGACCTTTAATCCTTTGCCTTGTCTTAGTCTTCATCATAGTAAAGTTTTTGTCTAAAAGGTTACCAGTTTTTTTTTTTTTTTTTTCACTGAAGATACTATAGCATCTGAAAAAGGCTTGCAGGAATCAATTATTCACCCAGTGGATACTGAATAAACACCTGTCATTGTTCTGATAAGTGCTGGTGCAGATTCAGAGAATTATTACATACGACCTTTAACTTTCAGGTGTTACTAGTCAAATGGGAAAGGCAAAGTTCACCCATATGAAATGTGTAAGCATTGCAGTCACATGAAATTTTAAGCACCAGCATGAAAAGAGTTCAGAGAAGACATAAATCATCTTGAAGAAAGAGGAAATGCGATTTGAGCCACACATTGTAGGAGTGTATGATCTTGCAAAACAGTGCAGAGAATGAAAGTGGGCAATCCTAGTGGACTGAAAACTGAGTGAAAGCCAGAAGCAAAGTATTACCTAAGTCAAGCCCAGGGCCCAAGGAGCAAAAGACTGAGGCATATGTAAATTCATATACACATATAAATTTATATAAATTCATATATATTCATATATAGGTATGAATATAAATCACTGAGATTCCCTAGTAAGCGTGTATGTCTAGATAGATTGATTCATACACACACACATACATACACACACAACCATAATTATGTTGAGGACTGATCAAGGAAGGCATTGAAAAATGACTAAATCTCTTAGGATTGAAGAAATAGAATGCAGCATATTTTAGAGGGTTTGGAGACAGAATGTGGAGGCTTTTGCTATGATTCAGGCCACAAAGTGATAGAATATAAATTAGGGTTAAGTCTTTGTGAATGGAGGAGAAGAGTGAAGCTGATGAGTAGGTCAGAAAGGGAGAAATAACATTAAGGGCATGGTCAAAACCAAAGTCCTATAGCCAGGTGTGGTGGCGCACACCTGTAGTCCCAGTGGCTTGGGAGGCTAAGGCAGGAGGATTGTGAGTTCAAAGCCAGCCTCAGCAAAAGCAAAGCACTTAGCAACTTAGTGAAGCCCTGTCTCTAAATAAAATACAAAATAGGGCTGGGGATGTGGCTCAGTGGTAGAGTGCCTCTGAGTTCAAAGCCCAGTACCTAAATAAATAAATAAATTTCCCAGTACAAAAAGTAAGAAAGAAAGACTCTTGTAAATATTTGGGCCACTTGTTATACTTAGAAAGGAGACCAGTTTGGAGGTCTAGAGATTGAGTTTGAGGAGGTAGGGACATGTCATTTTGGCAACTCCAAGGTCTTTTAAGATCTGTAGCTAGCTTACGTGAACCTGGAAGCCTACAGGTACAGATTTAGCACTGAGAAAGGAAAGAAAATGAAACTGAAGATCAAGCCTTGACAACCCTTTTGTTTGCCAAGGAAGAAAGCCCTGAAAGATTCTGAAGCAATAGGAATGAGTTTCATCACCACCTAAAGTAATACAGAGCAAAGAGGCCACCCGGGGAGGGGTGGGGGGAACCAGGTCCACACACACAGCCCATGGAAGTGAGGACTGAAACCAGGCCTGGAAGACAGGAAGGACGTTGGTAACATTCTGAAGGCTGGTTTTAGTTGCATGTTGGGATACAAACTCGACTGCCTACACCCACCTTAGTGCATCTCTCTTCCTCTATTATACCTATTAAAATTAGCTTTTAACTTCCTAATGGTGATTTTTGTTCATTTATGTTTTTTGTTTGTCTAGGAATTTATCTTATTTTGCTACACAAAGCAGCCCCTCTGCTGTCATTTTGAACCTGTGGGAAGCTCGTCATCAGCATGATGGTGACCTTGACTCCCTGGCCTGTGCCCTTGAAGAGATTGGGAGGACACACACGAAACTCTCAAACATTACGGAATCCCAGCTGGATGAAGCCGACTTCAACTACAGCAGGCAGAATGGACTCTAGTCCACTTCCTCTCAGGAGCAGAGGGATGGCCAGCTTTGGGACTTTGGCTTTAAATGGGAAAGAAAAAGGCAGCTCTCTGCCCAGTGGCATTTGGGGAATTCAGCTTTGTTTGTAGTCAGTGAGATCCCCTGGTTGAAGAAACTGAATTTTCTATAGGTAAAACATGCCAGTAGAGCAAAGGACAAGCTCTCTTAGATGTAAGAGGGTTTTATTGTCTCCCCTGAATCACACGCAGGTCAACACTGGATGCCCTCCTCAGATCTGGAGTGTCTAGGATAGACATGAGGGCATATTGAGACAAAAGTAGCTATGGAGAGAGATGAGCTACAATAAAGCTGAAGGCAGAGATTGATTAAGTGCATGTTTTGAAACAGGTTTTTAATGATGTGCCCCACAGGGCCAGCAGATTCTGGTACCAGATTGTCAGTTTTCTACCAACTGGCATTTGTAATGTCAGGAATCATTGTAAAACTGACTTTTAGAAGTAAAACAGGGTTGCCAACCCATTTGTATGACTTTTTCAACATCAAAGAGGGCGTTTAGATTCTAGAATCTGAATACACCACACCAGCACCAATTTCCTATCTATACTAGCCACTGAACGGAGACAAGACCCAAAAGTCAGATAGACGACGAACTAGTTCTCGTAGTGTACCTCACCTTCATTTTTTTCCCAGAGACAAATCTACCCACTTCTCTCCTTCCTGAACTTCCAGAGTAGAGAGGTTTCAAGGAACATAATGAGATTTTTGAACATGGAAATTTATCTCTTCAAACTCAACCAAGTAGGAGTATCTCTATTCCTAGTTAAGCCAGACAAATTGCAGAGTGCTGTTGGAATACAGCTTATTACATGGATTCAGAGACAGGTCTGGTCAGGCCAGGTCCAAGGAAACATGAACTGCAGATGTCACGGACCTCAAATAAGCTGTAATTCTAAGAGGCAGGTGTTGATCCAGTTCTCCAATATTTTTGTAACAAGGGAATGATGAGATTTACTGCACTTTTCAATCCAAGTTCTGGAAAGTTTCTTAACATTTTGGTACCATGCCATCATAGAATCTCTCAGTAGGGCCACCTAGGTCACCCTCCTTTTGCCTCTTGAGAAATTAGCAGACAGGCTTTGTCCTAGATGATAGCTGAATAAATAGACCTGAGGAATACCTGTCCCAGAAACCACATCCATCATTCAAGGAGCTTCAAGCTCAGCCTCACCAAGTACCCTTTCTCCAGTGAACCTTTAACATGTGGCCACTGCTTTATTTTTCTCTTTTTAAATAGGAGGCAGTGGTATTGTACAGAACTCAGATTCATCAACCATTCATCATCCTCATCTTAATACTTTATTCCATCTTTTTTATCCTCTTCAGTGGTTTTTGACAAGATGCCTGGTAGACTACAGATGAGCAGATGCGCTCCAGCTCATCTTCTGGTGTTTGTTTTCCTTAGCTGTCCACGATCAAGACAACCAAAGTCAAGGACCTAGGTTAACCCCAAGGCAGCTAGTCAGCTACTTAGAGATTGGATACTTTATTAAAAGTAGTCACGGAATGGGGGAGGTGGGAAGTACTTGGCACTGGAGATGCAATCAATTTTTTAAACACTTTTATAGATCTCTTGTTTTAAAAAAAAAATGTTGTGAATCTCCTCATAAGTGGAAAAGACCTAAAGAAAGGTTGAGTTTAGGATACCATGGATAAAGCATTGAAGAACTCTGGAATGTGTTGGCCATTTTCTCTAATGTGTGGTGTATCTGGTCCCCTGTATTAGATAGAAGGCTTTGCCACATGTAATTCAAAAAGCATCTTGCTTTTCTCAGGAACCAAAGGCTTATTATATAGAACAAACAAATCATCTTAGAACTGTCAAGCATATTTTCAAACTACCATATCTAGATCAGGAAAAGACCACTTTGCTAGTATGCTCAACTTGTTCATTCCTTCTAGGGAATAATAGACAGCATGGAAATGTAAATCACTTCACATCGCTGGTATAATTTTTGAGAGAAAGAGGTGTTAAGTAGATGTTCAATCGCTCACAATAAAATTGAGTTCACTAGCATGATTGGCTGCAGAAGGAATCTGCATTAGCTGTTGAGTAATAAATTATCTAAAACATTGTAGAGCTTATTCGAATCTCCATTTTGGAGGATTTTATTTTAAGTCATTATAATTAGCCTTATAATGGTTTCATCTATTCTGTGAATCCACACCAGATCCTTTCTAGACTTTTTTTTTTTTTTGCATTTTAAAGCAGAAGTTTAAATGGTTTCCCATAGAACCTACTAGATTATTTTAAGATGAGATTATTAATCCCTGAATCTGAATTCTGTAATATCCTCGCATGGGTTTGGTTGATTTTATTTTGTTCCCTTGTTTCTTTGGGTTTTCAGGATTCTTTTTTTTTTTTTTTTTTGTATTTTTTTGGGGGGATGAAGGGATGGTTTTTGTTTTGGTCTGGGTTAATAAATGCTTTTTAACATCAAATCACATAAAATAATAGAGGAAGAAATGAGAGATTCACCTTCAGTTTCAGCCCAAGTTTCAAGCAATGCATCTTTTAGTTCCTTTGGTTTCCTTTTTACATTCTTCTCTTAGTTCTGCTAGGTTGCTACAGAAGATTTCTGTATATGAAAGTCTGTGATCATTGCATGTCAGCGTTGTGCCATGTTTTACAATGGAATTTCAAAGAGAACCCATGTTTGTGAGATTTACAGACCAGGGTATGAGTGTGGTGGGAGGGGGTCACCAAAGTCTCAGTGCCCACTTGAATTTGTGGTTATTCACTTGTCCTAAACCCTGCTCTATTTTACTGTTTGCCAGTCATGACACAAATGCCCCTCTTGAAAGAGATTTACTCATTAGTCCCAGCACTTAATTTGCAAGTCTTACTCTCCTAGTACAAAATGAAGCAAAAACTAAAAGTGGCCTTAAATACTTCATAGGTTACTTAAAATTTTTACAAAATATCCCACTTAATGCCAAATCTCCCAGTGTTCAAAGACAGTGAAGTCTTAATTGTCATGCTTTAAACATGCCTTAAAATTATGCCACCAAAATACTACAATTCACAGCTTCACCAGACTGCAGTGCCATAAAGTTAATTTATAGTCTTTACAACATTGCTTGCGCAGTCTTACTGGTTTACATTAAAATCCTTTAAGCCAAAAGGAAGCTCGCTCAATGGATTTAAATGCAAACTTCATTTACCGGTGCAGGAAGTCTCATAAAACTCAGATGCACTCTCACAAAAATTTTATTGGCCTTTTTGTAAGAGATGAAAAGGAATTGACAACAGTTCTCTTTAAAGAGGGGAACTTTTTCTCTTTTTTATTATTTTTATCTCCAACTGCAGAGGTGTTATCCTTTGCCGTGGTCCCTGTATTTTTCTTCCAGTTGGCTTGGAGAAGGAATATTAAATCACTGAAACAGGGTTCTCTTTGGATAAAAAAAAGCTCTGGATTTATTGCAATGATTTTCCTTGAGAAAAAAAAAATATTTCTCAACATCAGGATTGATAAGCAGAATGTTAAAATGTTGTGATTGGTTTTCGATAGTATTCTCTATTTGCCAAACTTCTGGCAAACTTACCTGTGAAATTCAAATCATCAAATCTTTTGATATGCTTTCATTGTTTCCTCTTAGCTGTTTTCTCTTTGATTTCTTAGTCTCTCTGCCCTCAAATGTGTTGAATGATATAGCTATCAGATGTATCTAAGGTAATGTTTTCTAAGGTCTCTGTTCCAACTCTGTGAAGGTCACAGGAATCAGGAAGGAGCTGAGAAACGTGCCTCTCTGGCCCATTCTGTGGCCCATTTTCATTATGTTTCCTCATGAAACATTGCAAAGTTTGAATCCTTAGTAATTCCCATTGACTGGACTAGAGGTGACAGCCGTGACAAATGGGAGAACAAATTGTTGGCCTACAGATGGTGACAAAATTTTATTAGCCCTTTGGTGTTTGTTGCCCTAGCGCTGTATTTGAAAATTGATGCTTTAGCCAAAAGCTGAATGGCCACCGTTTCTGTAGTTTCCACTGTTTTGTCTGCATAGAATTTTCCTGAACTAACAAGCAAAAACGTATTTTGTCAAATGTCACAAAAGTGAAAATGTTACTAATCTTAGACGTGTTGCATATTTTGTGTTTTTCCTTTCCAAACTCTTTTCAAAAGCTGCAGTTTCAAAGCTGTTTGGCTGTATTGACAGCATGTGGTGTTTTTTGCAAAAGCAATTCTAGGAGAGCCAGTGTCTACCGTGGACTCCTCACATCCCCACTGCAGGGTCATCAACAAAATCAAAATGGCAATTTGTATGCTGTAATTTTTCAAAAGATAAAAGGGGATGGAAACCAGACCTGGCTGTTAGTCACTAGTGTGTAGTACTGTGATCTGAAGTAGGAAATTTAACTCACATAGAATAATTGTGGTTTTTGAAGCAGCTACTCATTGCTTTTTCCTTTTGCTGTGAAGATCATGGACTTGGAATGTCCTCATGAGGTGGGCCTAAGACAGTAACATTTAAACTTCATGTCTTCAAACCCACCCTCCATCTGAATCCAAAGACAAAAAAAAAAAAAAAAAAAGACAGTAAGCTTCATGGTTAGGCCTAAGCTTAAAATTTCCTTCCCACCTCTAATACTGATTTGATCAAGGGTTATATCCTTTCTTTTTTCCCAAAAAGTTTTAGCTTTGAATTGCAGAATATATCACTGAATTTAGTAATGTAGTTCTCTGTGTGAATAGAAACAGGTATCAAAATTCTTTTACAAAAGGCATAATTACAATGAAAACACCCTTTGGTCTCAAACTTTGCTGAACACTCAAAAAGTGTTTCACTTTTCTCAAGCATTATTTACACCCAAATTCCAAAATTGGACAAAGGATGCAGTTTCCTTAAAATGTAAACTCTATAGTAGAGATTTAATTGTGGTTCTGGTGAATCATAAAAGGAGAGATAATATTTGAAGAAGTTCATAAGCAGAATATCATTCCTCCTGACCCCTTTACTGAGACATAGGCATTACAATCAGAATTGGACTTAATAGCCCCAGTGTTCCTCCTTAGCAATCTCTGATGGTGCTGAGGAGGGACCACCAGGATGCAGCCATCTAAGCCTCATTAGAGAGTCCCTGAGCGTGATCAATCAGAAATACTCCTTGAGGCTTATTCTGGATGTAGCCTGCTCTCATTTGAAACTTCTCCCTAAGAAATTGGGGAAACACTCATACTGTCAGAATTTTTGGTCAGAAAAGCAATTTTCTCCTTTTCTTAACTGGAATAAAGACTTAGAATTCCCATTGTTCCTAATTGTATCTGATTGATACACACGTTCCATTAAGTCTTGACCTAGAAATATTGCAAACATAAGCAGGTAGAGGGAAACTGGCCTCTCCTAAACCCAACTCGAAAACACATCAGTAGTTGTTTACCTCCATTTCTGTATGGAAGAATTTAAAACAGATTTCATTTTGTTCTGTTTATTTTGGGAAGGTACATGGGGGTGTTCTTCCCAGTGATTCATATCTCAAACCCATACCACTCTCAACTTTTATTTGATGTGTTCAAAGCCAAAAAATAATAATAATAAAAAGCAGGGCTGAACACTTAATTTGACATGAAGCTGAAGGAGTGGGCAAGGCAGAGGAGAAAGTCTGAAGAAAGCATGGCCTTGGCTTCATACCACACTTTTTGTGCCTTGTATTATCAATGTAAATTCTGAATGTTGTACAGTAAATACGGATGGACTTCTTAGAGAAGGCTGCACCGGCTTCTTTTTCAGCACATGTACATATCTATAAATATATATACATATATATTTGGTAATGCCAAACAGCTGTGTTATATTGTACTGAACAAAATGGACAGTTTGGATGTTTTATGTAGAGTTTGCAAAAAAAAAAAAAAAACCTGGATGGTTACAGACTTTTCGAGATAAATGTACAGACGTAAATTACTGCATATCAGTTATTTATGAATAAAGAGTCTTTTATTGACATTTTAGGATACTCCATGAGTGGAACTTTGAAATCTCAACAAGGACCCTCTTATATATCTCCCTTCACATGCAATCAGGAATTGGAATGCTAGCTACAGGGACAATTTCTACATACTTGTTGACATAGTGACCCTAATTTCTCACTCTGGCCTCAAGAGGGAGGCTACTGAAAGCAAAGATGATCTTCTAACATTCTCATCCCACCTAAAGACACACACACATACTTTTCCTTATGATATAATTCTATATACTTCGAGGTTATTATAGGCCACAGCAAAACGGATATCTTTCACCTTACTCCTCAAATGGGTTATTTTTACAGACTGTATCACTTTGCCTCTCTATGGGAAAATATTAGGAAAGTAAGTAAGTACAATGTTGTATGTTTCCAATACATTCTGACTGCCTGAATCTGTTTTAAATGTTTTATTTTTTTTAAGTGCTGAGAATTTTCAAGAATTAATCATAAGAACTTGTAAAGCTAGTCAGTCAGTTCAAACAATTTGATCTACACAAATATGGCTTCTCATCTATTTAAAATAGTTATGATTTTTTAAATAGTTGCAAATCTGGTTTAAACCAGTACTTTTTAAAACTTTTTTGTTTTATTTTTTCGTTGTAGATGGACTTAATACCTTTATTTTTTATTTTTACATGGTTCCGGGGATCGAACCCAGTGCCTCATGCATGCCAGGCAAGCTTCGTACCACAACCTGGCCCTAAACCAGTATTTTTTCAAAGTTTTTTTTTTTTTTTTCTGTTTTTTTGTGCCACTTGGGAATGAATGTAGAGCCTCGCACACTGAACTACATCCCCATCATTTTTACTATTTCATTTTAAGACAGGATCTCAATAAGTTTCCCTGCTGGCCTTGAACTTATGATCTCCCTGCCTTAGCCCCTGTAGTAGCTGGGATAACAGGTATATGCCACTGGACTCAGTTTTTGCTTTTAGTAAACAAAACACCTTTTTTTTCCACAGAAAGAGTACAGGTTTTGTTTTGTTTTAAAAATTAAATTTGGAAAACTATGAAAATAAAACATTACTTTCTAGACTTCTGGAAACATTTATTAGTGCAATGGGCCTCATATATATGATAGTATGCAGAATTTCCAAAACTTTTTGACTAGTCCTTTTTCTTGTATCATCTTATGGAACTGAGAGTGGTTCCAGCTATTCTTCCTGACCACTTTAGGTTAAGCAGAGCTTTAAAACTGA